AAAAAAAAAAAAAAAAAAAAAAAAAAAAAAAAAAACGGTTAATGCAGTACCTATTACCGCGGTCGTCGTAATATTATAATAATACCGTACCTACATCATATAGGAAGTCACATTTTCGGCTTATTTGACGTTCGACACAGTTTATTTGTTGTTTTCCGTTCCAATATTGGTCGAAGGAGAAAAATCGTAAGTAAACCGACAATAATAATAATAATAATATATACGACGAGTGCGTGTATAAGTGACGCGTCTAACCCGTCCGCGCCACAGATTCCCGTCGGTCTCGTCGACATTATAATATTTTCCTACATACACATACGTATACCTATACTCTCAGCGTTTTGTTTTCGTTTTACGCAGTACTCACTTAAGTTTCATTTAAGTAGGTACCACGATGTAATACGCGTACAATGCGTTTCCGTAATTTTTTTTTTTCCCCCCAAGAGCAAACAATATTATAATATTATATCCTGCGGTGCCTTACACGAGGTGCCTATTTAATGATATCGTTCTCGTGGTTTGTACCGTTACTGATGCAGGAAAATAAATTATATCAAAAAACCGAATTGAAATCATCCGAATGGAATACTCGATATCGATTTCTTTTTTCTCCGAGCATTGTGTGTGAATCGCGCACGAAAATCACGTAGTTTTTTCAAATAATTTAAACACCCAAATGAATACAATCTTTATACGATACAGTTTCGGTTCGAGTGTCACAATCGGTATTTTACGAACGATAATCTCGTCGTGACGAATTTCTCCTTTTTATTATTTGTTGAAAAACCGTTCGGGTATAATTCGCCTTACACCCACGATTGGTCGACAAAACGTCGAGAGTACACGGCGTGTGTGTATTGTGTAGTATACCCTGCAGGGAACGCCACTGCGCGCAACAGGTATACGGGACCGGGTGCAATATCACATCGCTGTAGAATCGAATAATAATTATAAAACAGCGCGACCGGACGCCTGTAGATCCGGGCGGGGCGGTGACGATTTTTCACGGACGTTTTGTTAAATTTTCAATTCCGGCAAAACGTATCGGATTTCGTTGAACGTCCCGCATTCGTCCCGATTTCGTAATTCCAATGATACGTTGTATTTTGCATTATTAAAAAAACGTAGGAAAACGTCCAACGATGATAATGTATAAACCGTAAGAGTGCGTCGGTTATCGGTTATCAATTAGCGTTTTCATATTAACTATCAATAACAAACATTTAAACAATCAACTATTTTATTAACAACTGTTTAGAATTGTGCAGAGGATCGGGGGGGGGTGGTCTATTCTGCTAATGAAACTACGCCAAGTACGCGCGTACCCGGCTTACTTTTTTGCCATAGTGCCGTTCCATTAAAATCCTTACTTTGCATACTTTGCGTACACGTTGCGTACTTGGCTTTCTTAAAGTATGCCAACTACGACACGTCGCCGGGTGGTGTCGTTGTTGATTTATTTAGCGTATTTTCTTGTATACATTCGATTCGGTTGTGTTTCAGAGTTGTTATCACCGATTGTTTTTGTTATTATTTGTTTATCTGCGGTGGTCATGTATTGACTGTTGGCCATTTACACAACGCACCTTTTACTAAACTTTTACTCAAAATGAATGTGTCGCGACTAAATTGTTTGATTTTATTTAACGATGAACGAGACGATGACAGCAAACAGTTAAGCGTAGAACGAGCCCTTATTCGTCAACGGACAGTATATCGGTTGTCCGACGAAGGATTTCGTAATTTTTGGATATCAAAACGTACACATTTTGAACGCGTAGCAAATAACTTTACTCGAATTCGAAAAACACTAAAACGGACTCGAAATTTAAAATTTTTAACTTCTAAAGATATTCCATCAGTTATCACTTATCAGTTAATACCAGTGTTATCAACAAAACAAATACGAAATCTATGCTCGTACAGAAAATAGCAGAATAAAGGTCAACGCTAAAGTCAATGCACTTTTTCAGAAAAATAGCAGAATAGACCCCAGAATCGGTTGTCTTAATAAAGTTGTGTATTTATTTTATTCAAATCAGTTTTTTTTAAATATATATAATTATGTTTGTATGATTTTATTTCAATTGAATTTGTTCGGTTCTTCTCGCCAATCAACGAGATGATCACCGTCCGGTTTTCTCAGGACCTCACGACAAATGTTCAGCCGAGCTTTGCATTCAAATAGACGTGTTATTTAAGGGTCTCGAGGGACTAACCTCCCTACCGTCGTTATTGTTAGCCCTCTCGTGAATGGGTAGTCATTAAATTGTACTGACACAAAGAAAATTTGACTACACTTTGTTTATGGTCCGCCTTTGTTACACAAAAGCATAAAGAAACAAGTATCGGTATACTGCACCGTCGTTCGAAATGCTCGTGTATTTTTTTAGAGTTTTCGTCCGGTTTATAAAAATCGTTTAGGTCCGGCGAAAACGCTCGAAAATTATCTTAATGAGAGCTTAAATGAAGATTTTTTACTCAAGCGTTTAAAACTCAAATGTCAACGAGAACGGTATTAACAGCTGCATAATGTGCACACTTACGATACGGGTACACGTTTCGGTGAGAACGCCGCGATTAATTTCGTGCACCGCCTCCCCCGCTCGAAACGAAAACCCCAAGCGCGGGGGCAGAGGCGCACGTTGAAAACGTCTGTAAAATCGGCCAAGACGGAGCGCCCGCGAGCGCAGCGCTACTATACGCCGCATACCTTACGGGCGAAATTTTTTTTTTGTTTTTTTTGCGTCGGATTTTCGGGCGGCACATTATCAAATAACCGCACGGCGGCGACCCGTAACCGCAATGCCCGCGCGTATAACATTATACGCCTCCGATAACAATCCGAGAAATATTATTGAAAAAACAAAACAAAACAAAACAAAAACAAAAACGACGTGCGCTATAAATATTTTGAATTTTTAATAACGATGCGGCGCGTTGTCGTCCGTCTCAGCGGCGGCGGCGGCGGACAACTCAAGGACGGCAATAGCACCGCAGTGTAACATAACGCGCGCGCACTCTGTAATATTGTGCACCCATACAATAATAATAATATTGTACTAAATCACCGTCCGTGGCAAAATATAACGATAATAACAGTAACGTATAAAACCGTATTGTACGTTTTAATGGCGCGGCAATGGTCCGGCGATTCCTGTATATTTGTGCGGCGCACGCAACTATAAATATTATAATATTATAGAAAAAAAAAAAAAAAAATAATAATAATCTTTACTTTTCGATTTAGAACCGATTACGATTGGGGCCGTGTTGTTTACGCGCGCGTTATTGCTGTATACGCGGGGCATACGGCGTACCACTGCGTACACGGTCTAAATAGGATTTGTTTTTTTTTTTTTTATACGTCCGTGATATTATTATTGTTGTTACGACAGCCACCCAAAGAGCGGCCGGACGATATCATAAGTTACGCCGAAAAATAATACCTAAATTATATACGCGTTATTATAAATCTATTCAAAGTCCTATCGGTATAATGTATTGTGCACCGGGGGATTCGTTATTGAAACATAGGTATTCGACCGGGGCAGAAAAAAAAAAAAAAAAAAAAATGTATACACGAGTAACGGTCTTACTATTTGTTTTACGTGTACAGAACGTTTGTGAGACGCTCGTCGTCACGGAAAGTATCGACTCTCTTCGATAATTGTTTTATTATTTCAATTTTTTTTTTTTTTTTTTTTAACGAAACGAGCAGCACTGAAACCTGACCCAACCAGCGTTTTGTCGCTTAGTGGTACATCTCGTAGACGGCCGATCGACGGAAATCAAAAAAAAAATAAAAAAAAAACCAGTTTAACTGTATATTATATTTATGGAATTTTTAAATATAGGTTGCCATCGGGGAGGACTTATATACGGGGATTCAACCCCCGCCCCTCCTTCCCCTCCAATTGTCTTTTTTTCAGTCTCAGCTATCGTATGCAAATTATACATGTCATCCGATGTTAAATTCAATTAAGACAAAATTATTTTCGGTATACCAAACCGTATAATATTATATTGTGTGTATACTATATTATAGTAACATTTTTGCGCTTTTGATCGAAAAATATCTGTACAAAAAAAAAAACGTTAACCACCGCCAACATATCTGGACGGTTACTTCCCTTCTTCTTCCGCCTTAATGTCGTCTATTTGATACCCGATCCCTTCTTTCGAAAATCCCGCATTTGCCACATTGCAGGTTGCCGTTTTGAAAAATCGAAATCCGGTACTCGTAGCGTTTCCGTCTACAAACAAAACATAATAATGGTATAGTAACGTATGCGTAACGTTTTAGAGCTGCTGAATTGTCTTGACCGAAAAAAAAAAAATATCCCTGAAAAACTTCCCGAGGTAATCATGAGTACTTGCATAGTGTTCAAAACGACGGAAAATTTATGAAAATACTCGAAAAAGCGGTTTTTTCCGCGAGTCTGTGAAAAAATCGAAAAAAAAAAAAAGGGTCCAAAGAGAGTAATAATTGATAATAATTAAAGAAAACATAAACATAGACAACGTCCCACTGTGAAATTTAAGTTACCGGATATTGCCGCTATTTTATATTCGTATCGCATAAAAACATAACCAAGCAGTCTCAATACAATATCGTAAAAATAATAACCGATATATTATCATTCGGCAACATAAATGTTTAAAATGTATGACTTTTACATTGACGCTACGCTACAGTGTAACATGCGCGCAACGTTCAATTATTGTTCCCTTGAAATAATTTTGAAACACGCGATACCACGAATTCAATAATATTAAATTTATATACTTGAATTTATCAGTTTATAAATACATCTTTAGCCCATTCACAGGCGTAGCCGGACCTCGTTTGCAGGGTATGCAAGTCAGTATGTGTACCACAGTGAGCCGTGAGGTGCTTCGCCTAATATGCAATAATATTTCAGACTCACTAATTCAAAATTAACTTTGACTTACAAAATTCAACTCAGCGTCCCTTTTTTTTTTTTTTTTTTAAAAAAAAAAAATAACCCAATATACCTACCCGGGCATTATAATTAATTTTTTATACAATCATGCATCGCATACGCGCGATTAACGGAAAAAAACACTATTACAAAATACACTGCCACCTACAAAAACGACACTTAATGTGTATTTAATCTATGGTTTCAGGGTATGCAGCGGCATACCCTGCGACCCCCCTGGCTATGACCCCATAATTACGAGCCGCTCGTACTGGTTTTTCCATTTTGGACTCCGGAGAACTCGGTCACTTCGTCTTGCAGAACGAAACGCCAGATCGTCACAGCTATACGAACGACAATCGAACGCCGAACAGATATTTTAGTAAACTATATGCAATGAAAAGTTTGCAAAACGACTTGTTTATAAAGCACAGTGATAACCAGGTTACGTTTCGTTATCCGCCGAAACGCGCCTACACAGATGTATTATGAGCAGTGTTGAATCCGGTTATATGAAATTTTGTTTGCTCTCTCTGTTAAACGCGGGTAAATTATTAATGAATCAAATAATAAAACGAATTTGACTGGTCTTAGGGCCGTTCTCGCCAACGTGGAAAAAGGAGTTTATGGCCGACAACCGACCGCGATTGGTCGATTGTCTTATAAACTCCGTTTAAAAATCATCGTTGACGTTGGTGACAACGGGCCTTAGTAAGGGGGCGGATGAGCTCGGAAAGAACAATGAGTAATCGCCATAATTCTAGTGACGCTCCCTCCCCCCTCCAGAAAAATTGTCCGAATTCAACACCGATCTCCCCATAACGACGGCGATAGGCGATAATACGTAATTATAACAATAACATTGATACGGGGGAATTCGGTTGATCGTGACTTTAGTCAGAGGACAGGACGGTGCGTTGTTATTGTCGCGCGAAATTCTTGTAAGGCGAGTACGGCCCCAAGTTCATACCACGGCATAATACAATGCGTCGCTGTGGACAATCGGTGTCCCCGTTCCCGATTTGAAACCGTACCGGAAACGTCCCGGCGTGTCGCCGTCGCCCGCGTCGATCGCGCGCGCGTACCGCTATTGCGGTCGAATTAACGTAACCGCGCCGGGGGCGTCCGCGGTCGCCGCCGCCGGTCCGCCGGCAGTTTGCCGTCGATTCCGCGTGCTACTCGCGCGCACAATCGTTTTCGAACCCCGGGCCGGGGCGGTTGCAGCAAACAATGCACTAGGCGCGTCTGCGATACGGGCCGCGACGCGTATTACGGCCGGTTCACGCGATGCCACGCGCGCCGGTTCAACAGATTTTCGACAGTAATCGCGATGTCGTGTCGTCCGCGTTACGGCGCGCTGCTGCTGCGCCGGCGTATCGACACGCGCACCGCCCCGGAGCCGCGATAAAAACGGACGGCGGCGGCCGGAGCGCGCCTAACATCGTATTGTAACACGCGAGCCGCGCGCGCCCGTCCGCCGTTTCGGCGCGAGCCGCCGGCGCGTTCGCGTGCCGTAACGACGCGCGGGGCCGCGAAACTCGGACACCGCGATGCGACGCCGCGTCGTACCGCGGGCAGTGGCGGGCGGTGGTGGGCGGTTGAGGAAACGTCGGAATTCCGTTTGAACTCGAAAACCGCCCCGGACCGGAGCGCTCGCACGGACGGCGCGGACTGCGACGGCGGACAAGACCGCGCGGAATACTCGGCTGCGGCGATAACCGTTTTTCGCTTGCACCGTTACGCGACAATCCGAACACCCGGCCGAGCCCCCGTCACTAGAGTCGGATTTCTCACCCTCTCCTCGATCCACCGCCCGATTCCGTGTTACGCGTTGACTTTGCGAAACGGAACGGTCACCGAATACTACGCGAGTTGCAAAGCGAGAGGCGCGTTCGCGATACTCACGCGCCAAATGCGCCGTAACACAGCGTTTCGTCCTCCCGGCTTCGTTTGCGGAGGCGCGGGCGTCCGTACGGGGCTAAAAAGA